AACCAGCAAGGAGTGACAAAGGACCTCGAAGAAGCCATTGAGTTGCATCGAGTCGCCTTCGAGCTTCGACCCGAAGGCCATCCGAATTGCTCTTTCTCTCTCAGCAATCTTGCAAGCTCTCTGATGACCCGATACAACCAGCAAGGAGTGACAAAGGACCTCGAAGAAGCAATTGAGTTGCACCGAGCTGCCCTCGAGCTTCGACCGGAAGGCCATCCGAATCGCTCTATCTCCCTCGCCAATCTTGCAAACTCTCTGAGGATCCGATACAACCAGCAAGGAGTGACAAAGGACCTCGAAGAAGCTATTGAGTTGGACCGAGCCGCTCTCGAGCTTCGACCCGAAGGCCATCCTCATCGCTCTCTCTCCCTCGGCAATCTTGCAAACTCTCTGATGACCCGATACAACTAGCAAGGAGTGACAAAGGACCTCGAAGAAGCCATTGAGTTGCATCGAGTCGCCTTCGAGCTTCGACCCGAAGGCCATCCGAATTGCTCTTTCTCTCTCAGCAATCTTGCAAGCTCTCTGATGACCCGATACAACCAGCAAGGAGTGACAAAGGACCTCGAAGAAGCAATTGAGTTGGACCGAGTTGCCCTCGAGCTTCTCCCCGAAGGCCATCCTGATCGCTCCTTTACACTATGGGGCCTTGCAAGTTCCTTATATGCTCAGATTGAGAATCAATGGGACACAGAGGAGTTCGAGGAATGTATGCAATTGCTACATCTTGCTGCTACACATGAATTTTCAGGACTGTCGGATCGCCTTCCTGCTGCACGGCAATGGGCAACACTTGCGCGATCGCACAAGCATCACTCGGCCTGTTTAGCTTACCAAACAGCCATAAACATACTTCAGCATGCTCTCGTCATACATCCAACCCTCCGCGAACAGCACGACTTTCTCGCCGGTAAAAATGTTTACAAGACGCTGGTCTCGGAGGCGGCGTCCCTTGCGATAGAGGAAAACGAATTGGAGCAAGCGGTGGAGATACTAGAGCAAGGAAGGGGCTTACTTTGGTCGCAGATGCGTGGCCTTCGGACTCCCCTGGACCAGCTTGCGCAAACGAACGAGGAACTCGTTGACAGATTCAGGGACGTCAATCGCCGACTGGAGAACCTTGTAACATCGCACGAGACGTTAATGTCTGACTCAAGAATGGATGGTGGCAAATTACTTCGGCTGGGCAACAAAGTGGGACAGAAATTGTTTGATGAGGAGTTGAAACTAAAGAAGCAACTTTCGCTTGAGCAAGAGGGAATTATAAACGAGATTCGACAAGTGCCTGGATTCAAGAGCTTCCTAAAAGCTATGCCGTTCAAAGAATTGCAACGGGCAGCATCAGAGGGGCCGATCATCATTGTGAACCATAGCGAATATCGCTCCGATGCCCTCATTATCTTCTTTCATGACGTTCATTCCGTAGTATGCGTCTCGTTGGACATGGAGTTCTATGGGGACAGTATAAAGCTATGTAACGAACTTGTTAACACACGACAACGGCTCAAATCGCATCCGATGAAATATGAAGAGAAACTTTGCGAAGCAATGAAGATGTTATGGGATAGAGTCGTCTCCAAAGTTGTTGGCAGACTAACGGAAATCGGGGTGACAAAGAGGTCTCGTATATGGTGGTGTCCTACATCAGTGTTATCTGCACTCCCGTTCCATGCCGCAGGACCATTCGAGGATGCAGATGGAACCACGAAATACTTATTAGACGATTATATTTCATCGTATACTCTGACTCTCGGGGCACTCATTAATGCCAGAACTAAAACAGGCACAAGTGAACCAAAATTACTTGTCGTTGGGGATACCGTGTCGCTGCGATCAACTAAACAGGAAATTCGTAACATCCAAATTTGCATGGACATTTGCGAATCAGACTATACAAAACTTCTTAACCGCAGGGCATCTCGGCGTAAAGTGATGGAGATGCTCCGGAGGGTCACATGGATCCACTTTGCATGCCATGGCCACCTTAATCCGGAACCTTTCGACTCATCGTTCCAGCTCACTGACCGCGGATTGACACTGCTTGACATTATTCAAGCTAACGTCCCCAATGCCGAGTTCGCATTTCTCTCTGCATGCCATACCGCCGAGCTGTCTCACTCGGGTGTACACGACGAGGCACTCCATCTATCAGCTGCTATGCAGTTCAGCGGATTCCGAAGCGTAATTGGGACGATGTGGGAACTATACGATGGGGACGGGCCTGCCTTTGCTCGTGTGGTTTATGAATACATGAATGGATGTAAGGAAGGTGAATTGAAGTATAAGAGGGCGGCTGGAGGGCTTCGAGAAGCAGCAATAGAGTTGAAAGCGCGGGAAGGGATTCCGACCGAACGATGGGTCAATTTCGTGCATATAGGTGCTTGAAGGATGCTACAATATGCTCTACAAATTGTATTACTAGTGACTCCATATGTATATCATTTCTAGTAATACTTCACAACGTTTCGAACATTCAAACTGATGCTCGTGTACGGACACTCTATCCTCTTTCGTTCGACGGTCTCTAGCCAGCTCCTTCTCATCCAAAGCATGACATATCTGCAGTTGTGGCTCCCCAATTATTTGGACCCAAAGCTTTCAGCGTTTTCAGAGCTCTGCTGATGTCAAGGTATCATAATACGCGAGGCATGCATGAAAGTGAGAGGGAGCAGCCCACTTACAGGACGTTTGACATGGCCAGAGTGGTGAGTCTATCATTCTAACGGCAATGATGGCAATAATAATAATACAATGTTTGATGTACATATGCAGAACCAACGGATGCAAATTCTCTCCCTATCCTTTTTCTTCTCTTCTGCATGCTTGTACTTTTTCAATCACAATGATACTCGTACAACGTCCTCAGGCGCATCCGGGTCAGGCTGTCCCGTCTCATGCTGTCGAGCCCTAGACAAAGTATATGCATGTTTACATCAGACATTGCATCAGATGAATGCTGGTGGACGGCCCGCTCATCGGAAGAACGTATATGAGAGCACAATTTCATCAAGTCCTTACACGCTGGGTTATCAGTACGTCTTGGTCAATGAAGAGTATGTACACCCTCGTCTCCCGTCAACGGCTTCAGTCCATCATAGCGTAAAAGCTCGGCCTTGGGGAAGTAAGGTGCAATCTAATCACGGCATGGAAGTCCATCATCAGCATATAAGCTACTATTCGACACGCTGCGTTTTACGTCTCATTTACTAGTATAGCACAATGTATCTAGTATATAAGGGTGCACACATATGCACATATATCCAAGTGCCATTCCAAACTCCCTGTCTTAACAGGTTATGAGCCTTGCTGGCTTGTGAATGGCACCATTGACACAAACGACACCACAAACGCAACCTCTACCTCAGACGTCTACCCCCCCTCCTAGTACTAGTGCTCCACCTACGAACACAACGCCTCTAACGATGGCACAATCTACATTAACATTCGAGTCTCTAAAGATTGACAATAATCAACTTACTACATTCTTTAAAGACATAGAGAAGCTTACAGGTGTAAAGAACTATAAGATATGGCAACTACACATTACAAATGTACTAGTAGCAATACTACTCAGTGACCATCTTACAAATGATCCCCCTAGCACAGATGCAAACAGTACACACACAGGGAAACTATTGTATCATTTTATAACAAAGACAATATCAGATACAGTGTATACTAATGTTACAATGCACAAAACAATGAAAGACCTCATACAGGCACTAGCTGATTGATACAATGTGTAAACCACATTGACTCACACAGTCAATATATTAGTGCTGTTCACAGCTAGAGGACATGTTTCACAGTTTGACAAGATGCTAGACCAAATAGAACAAGTCTATACACAACTGGTAGCTCACAGTAAAGCACTAGATGATAATACTTATGTCTCAGCAATAAATCTTACTACTCCAAGAGAGTACAAGTGGGTTGCAACAATGATTGATAGGCAGAACATACATTACAATAGTCTACCCACAGTTACTGTGGCTCAACATTAGGTGTTCACACTAGCAAAATTAATTCACGAATTACACAATACATTTACTGAGTAGCAAACACAGAATCACCAGAATAAACATAGTACACTAAATAATAATAATAAAATAACAAATAATCACCCTCTATCCCCAGGGCCTACACAAGGTCAAACAAGAGGATAAGAATGTAGTAGAGACAATGCAAAGCCTTACAAGACAATGAAATGTTACAATTGTAACAAATATGGACATATGTCCAAAGAGTGCTATAGTCTAGTAATAGACACTATGAAGGAAACACAAAAAAAGCAAACAATGACAATGACAAATGTATCTACATCACAACAAATTACAGTTCAAACAATGAGTACTATGCTTACAGACCCAATAGTGTTTATTGACAAAGTAAACAAAATGCTAACACTAGACACTATAAACAACAAACAAATGTAAGAAATACAAGGGGAACTCACACTTGACAAATTCCTCAGGGAATATAACTCAAACATATACATTAATACATGTTCTTACAGAACAACAAAACTCACACATTGTATTGACATACTCAATTCAGGTGCTAATATCTATGCTACACCCTATCTATTTCAATTAACGAATGTATAATATATGAACCCTATAAACGTTACAATTGTAAACAAAACAATAATCATACTCAGACAAAGTGGAGCAATAATAATTAGAATACAACAAGATACAAACAACAAACACAGAATGAATGAAACAAATGTAAGTAGTATCATACTACATAATGTATACTATCATCCCAATCTAAACTTCACATTAATCAGTGAAGCATTACTATACAAAGTAGGACACAAATTAGTAAAAACAAACAATACATATACTATCTATTCACCTACAAATAAAAAGATTAGAGAAATACAAGTATGTAATAAGTTATATATGATAGTATTGTATTATCATTACTAATGGAACATTAACACAATAACTATAATTGACTTACACAAACAAATGGGTCATATTAACTTTGAGTATTTATACAAACTCATACAAAATCATTCTGAAATAATACAACAAAAAGTAATGGACAATAAGAATGTATGATGCAATGATTGTATGCATGCAAACATACAACATAACAATATACCTAAAATACGAATGTCTGCAATTTCTAAAACATATGGAGAATGTCTACATATTGATATATAGGGTCTAGCACCTATACAAGCATACAGCAAATACAAATACATACTTACAATTGTTGATGATGCTATACAATGGGCAGATATGATACTCATACATCATAAAAGTGATACATTTACTGAATACATTAAATACACTACAAAATTATTTATACAATACAGTGTAAAAGTAAAAACACTACAAAACAATAACAATACTGTCTTCCTAAGTAATGACTTTACAGTGTACATAGAAAGTCAAGGAACTATATGATGATTAACAGTACATAATACCCTATAACAAAATGGAGTCACAGAATGTATGCACAAAACAATATTTAACAGAGTACAAACGTGTCTATTAATGTCTAAATTACCTACAAAATTATGGGTATATGCTACACAATACTAAATGTTTATTCATAATCAAACACTACATACTGTAATAAATTTTACAACACTATATTACAAACAGTTTAACAAACAATATGCTATTAATAACATATAAGAATTCAGAGCATATTGTGTCATACAGAACAAAAATATGTACAAACTAGAGCCTAGAGGTAAATACACACAATAGTTAGGCAACAATAACAAAAGTAAAGGCTATATAACATAGCATGATAATAAAATAATGGTTGAACAAAACCTGCAATTCATAGATGTATGATCATCTAGAATTGAAGGGGAGAATAATAATAATAACAATAATAATAACAGAACAAACAGAACTAACAGAACAAATAACAGAACAAACAATGGCAATAATAATATGAATAGAACAAACAGAACGAATAATAATAATAACAATAATAATGGAACAAACAGAACGAATAATAATGATAACAATAACAAGTTATGATAATCAACTCATAAACAACAAGTAACAAAACATGCTAGAGGATTAAACTATGATGATGAAATAAATCTAGCAATATATCTAACAGAATTTAACAAACTACTTAACAAAGTATATAACAATCCATTAACATATTACAATACTATAACAAATAATGATAAAGCACAATAGATCAAAGCTATGAACAAAGAAATAATAGCATTATGATTACACAATACATAGGAATACACATACCCACCAACAGACACAAATATAATTGGAACAAGATTTGTCTACAAATTAAAACAACTAGCTAACAGTAACATAGACAAATACAAAGCACAACTAGTAGTACAGGGTTACACCCAAAAGGACAGAATAGATTTCTATTCAGACAACCTATTTGCTCCAGTTACAAAATTAACTATAGTATGATTATTATTAAGCTAGGCAGTGTCTAAAGACTATGAAATACATTAAATAGATGTAAAATCTGTATATCTTTACAGAGAATTAAACAAAGACAAACATATCTATGTGAGACCTCCACCAGGTAAATTACTAAACAACATCAAACCTAGTCAAGTGCTAAAATTAAATAAAGCACTATATAGACTAAAACAAGTAGGACAACAATAGTATAAGAAAATTACAGATATACTGTACAAAATAGGATTGCAACAAGCAAACTATGACAATACTGTATTCTATAAGAAAAGGCATAACAAAACAATATTAATAACATTCATGCATGTCAACAATATTACTATTATTGGTGAAAACATCACTATAGTGAACACATTCAAAGAAGCATTAAAACAATATGTTACATTTACAGACAGAAACAAAATACACTAGCTTCTAGGAATCAAAATCCAAAGAAATAGATAATGGAGAACAATCTGCTTACAGTAAAGTCACTATATCCAGAGCATAATACAACAATTTAAGCTTGAGAACAAAAAACTGTTACAAACTCTTATAATGCTTAGGACATACTTAACAAGTATGAATAATATGATTGACAACAAACGATTTATACAAACAATACTGTACATGAATATGGTAGGATCATTACACTATACAGTAGATTGTACTCAGCCAGACATTGCATACATTACAGGCCAATTAGTACACTATCTACAACAACCAAATAAGAGCCACTACAAAGTAGCAAAACATTGCTTCTAGTACCTAAAAGGAACTATGAACTACTAGCTTCATCTCAGAGGTACAAATACATTGACTATACAAGGGTACTGTAATACTGACAGACAAATGACAGAAGGACACCAATCAATTAACAGATACATATTCTAGCTGGGAAAGCAAACAATATCTTAGTCAAGCAAACAATAGAACCTAGTACTACTATCAACTTACAAAGCAGAGTTGCAA